AGATACTCCCCCCCCCCCCACTGGACACACACCCTGGCTGTCTCCGATACTCACCAAAGAAGAGGACGGTGAGAGCATATGCCATGACGGGGCAGGGAGAGGCCCCTCAGCGCTGCCACCAACACCCCAGTGCCCAGCTCCACCGAGCCCCAAATGAAGAACTTGGCTGGGAGCTCCAGATACAGGAAGCCGGGGATGGCTCATCTCTTCCTGCGTCCATCACACGTTGGCTCTAATCTTCCAGCCAGATCTATTGGAGCCAAAATAAGCAGCGGTCCCTGCAACACCCAGGAAATCCTGGGGCCGTCAGCCTGGCCAAGTGTCATGTAATTCGCAGCATTTCCGTGTCTCTGTGGGGAGTGGGGACAGGTCACACTCAATGTACCCTGCAGCCTTGGCGAAGGTGCACTGGGCTGGGAGCCAGGAGACCATGGGGTCTGGTCTTCAATCTTCCACTGCAGATCCCTCCCTTCCCCCATTATTACATTCTGGGTTCAAGCAGCTGGGGACCCATTTAGGTAAAATTAATATGTGATCATGCAATTAAAGGATGGCGTCATAATGCATGTGCTTGAGGGGCAGAGTTAAGGGTGTTCAGGAAACCTTAACTGGCATTTCCTGGTGCTGGAGGGTTTGACTCGGCAGCCTTCCCTCTCAGTCTGCAAAACTGCCCACATGCGACACGAGCCGTGGCACCGTGTGAGGCTCATCCGTTGAGAGATTCTCTTCCCTGCACAGCCGGATCCAGGCTCCTGGGGGTGCAGAGAGATGGAGGGTTAGAGGGGCCCATGTCGCCCTGGGCCCAGCCCTGGGGGGAGCAAGGGGCACAAAGGGGGGGTTGCCTCACCTAGGGTGCCCCCCCGGGCGGCTGTAACAGGTCTCAGCCAGGATCAGCCCCAGGACGAGCAGGACCACGGCACCCAGCGTCAGGCGGGCGATGTTGGCGTGGGTGAAATCCAGGCGCCCCGGGAGGGCTGCTGCAGGGGAAGGGGAGAGTCACTCGGTGGCTCGGACGGGGAAACCAGCAGCTGGTGCTGCCCTGGGAGCAGAGCCCCCAACCCCCCGTCCGGCAGGTCCCGCCCAGCCCCTCTGGGGCTCTCCCAGGTGCCGCGGCTCTGGGGCCTCCCTGGGGCTGGACCCCTCAGGGGAGGCTGCGTCCTGCTGCTCTGGGGGACTGAGTCTCAGTTTCACCAGTGAAGGGGGGGCCCATGCTGGTGAACTGCCCCCCTGAGCCACCCAGCAGCCCTGAGGGACCCCCTGTCCACTCCCACAGGTGCCTCTGCCCCGGCCTGTCTGCTGTGCAGTGAACCCATCCCCGGGGTATCTCAGCTCCTGCCAAACACAGCCAGGCAGTGTGCGTGGGGGGAGCCTGGGACATCACCCGCTGCCCCCCCACCCCCACGTCCCAGCAGTGCCCAGGGCCCAGTCAGAGGCAGCAGAACATCTATGGGGGGTGGGTGGGTTGGGGAAATCCAGTGGGGGGAGGGGAAGCAAGACCAGGGCATTCTGGGTAATAGTGGTGAGCGGGGTCACCCCTATTGCCAGGGGGACGTCATCATTTTATAAAATGATGGGGTCTAAATGAGCTGTTACCACTCAAGAAAGATCTTGGAGTCAGTGTGGAGAGTTCTCTGAAAACATCCACTCAATGTGCAGCGGCAGTCAAAAAAGCAAACAGAACATTGGGAATCATTAAGAACGGGAGAGATAATAGGACAGAAAATATCATATCACCTCTATATAAATCCATGATACGCCCACACCTTGAATACTGCATGCAGATGTGGTCACCCCATCTCAATGAAGATATATTGGAATTGGAAAAGGTTCAGAAAAGGGCAACAAAAATGATTAGGGGTCTGGAACGGCTGCCATATGAGGAGCGGTTAATAAGACTGGGACTTTTCAGCTTGGAAAAGAAACGACTAAGGGGGGATTTGATAGAGGTCTATAAAATCATGACTGGTGTGGCGAAAGTAAAGAAGGAAGTGTTATTTACTCCTTTTCATAACACAAGAACTAGGAGTCACCCAGTGAAATGAATAGGCAGCAGGTTTAAAA